TTTCACATACTGACGACCAGAAATGACGAAGAGACAGCAAGGATTCTGTCGATGCAAAGGGTCCAAGAGGCAAACAATTTTAGTGACTCGATGTTTGCTGATGTTCGTCAGAACCTGTCACTAATGTTTCCTTAGGGATTTAAATCTGTTCTCCCTCACACGGAGGCGGATGAGAGGAGACCTAATAGAGACATTTAAGGTCGTCAAGGGTATGTCAGGTCTTAAGTTTGACAACCTGTTCTTCTGCGTTTCGCATAGCGACACTCGGGGGCATAACTTACGGTTCCAGCGAAGCCACTCCAGGCTGCAACTGAGAGCAATGTTTTTCAGAAACAGGTTAATTCCGTTGTGAAACCAGTTCCCGCTGTCAGTGGTAAGCTGCAATACTGTGAATGCTTTAAAAAGGCACTTGTTGAGTGTTGGATGTTGGTTTTCTCTTAGGTAAGCGTTGAGTAACCCTTGCCTCCATCGCACAGAACCAACCACCCACGGACTGGCTTTTGGCGACAGTTATCCCTATCCACAAGGGGGGAGAGCGTAAGTCGTGCTCGAACTATCGCCCAGTAAGCCTGACATCAGTAGTACTGAGTGTCATGGAGAGAGTACTGAGTGCCAGGATCGCTGGACACGTGGTAGCTGTAGATACATTGACGGATGACCAACATGGGTTCAGAAGGAGGAAGTCGTGCCTGTCAAACCTCCTCTGTTTTCTTGATGAAGTAACTAAGAGGATCGACAGGGAAGAGGAAGTTGAGGTGTGCTGCTTAGACTTCCAGGAAGCGTTCGACTCCGTCAATCATGGGCTACTGATGACGAAGTTGAAGGCTTTTGGGCTACCCCAGGATCTGCTAGAATGGATACGTAGCTGCTTGACAGGTCGGAGGTTTGTTGTGAGGGTAGAAAACAGCACAGCAAGCCAGGGACGAATGCCTAGTGGAGTGCTACAGGGCTCTGTCCTAGTTCCGCTGCTTCTTCTGCTCTATATCAACGACCTCAGCACCGACCTGGTAAATCGCTGCTACAAGTTTGCAGACGATGTTAAAATCGTCGGGGAGGCTGCAACGAAATCGGTTCAGAGGGACCTTGACAAGATATATGGGGGTAGTGGCGTGGTAGCCCAAATATTAGGATTTCTAAAAACGATAGATTTTTAAATTTATTTTTTAGAAAAGTTCAACCGAATTCAACCGAAGTGAAACAGATTTTGCTTTTGGCTGATTCTGAGTGATTTTTTTAAATTTAATTTGTTTCAATTAATCCTAATTGACTTTGTCCAGAAGGTATAATTACCGCTACCTAATTCCGACGATGACTTTCACGCTGGTACAAACGAAACGGTCGTTTTTGATAGAGTTACTTGCACTTTCTTCTACGTTTATGTGTCAATAACAGCCGAACAACTGATGCGGGGAAGAAAGTTTGGTTGGAAACTGACTCTGCCTGAGCGTTTTCCGTATTATTTCATCAAATATTGCTGTGTACATCACAGAAAGCGCGGCGCGTAATTATGCCTCTCATTTCTAATGTATTTAACTCATTTTAAGCTGCTAAATATCCATTGTCCGGCATTCGTTGGAATTCGCGCGGTCGGAAGGGAGTACCGAGTGATGAAACATTGTCTGGTGCACAACCATGACTTCCATGTGGGTCAGCGGGGTCCGTAAAAAAGTAATCGTCGTCTATCTGGAGAACAGGAAGAGGAAGTGTGTACTTTGATGGACAATTTTAGAAGTACTCGCGAGCTAAGGGATTTCGCCACACACGGGTTCAAGAGACCCTTAACTACGGCAGATATAAGATTTATACGTCGAAGGTCTCAGTGGGATTCACGTGGCGA